CTATATAAGTGTAAGCAATTAATAATAATAATAATAATAATAATATTATTATTATTAAAAGAGAAGAAAGGAAACACAACATTTCGGCTGTGGATCCTTCTTCGGGTGTGATAAATGCATTTCTACTTAGTTTCTGCTTGTGCCCTGTGGTTCAGTGTTTCATCCGTGTTTCTGACATCTAAAGTCAGGGAATGGTGGACAAACAGAAAAACAAACAAATTGTGTACATATATTTTTTTAAATAACTCAATAAAAAAATACAGCAGTGGCATTTTATAGGTGAAATGAAAATGGATGAACACCTGAATCAAGTCGGGAAAGGAGATCTCTCCACTTACCAGAGAATATCTGCTGTCTGACCTCAGTCTCCCCTGGCTGGCCACACAGAGCACACAGGTCAGCAAACAGCCACTCCACGGCCACTTCAATACTCGGATGGCTGGAATACAATACAGATTCTGTCAGCACCACTGAGGGCCCTCTGTCTGCACTGGTGCCACCACGTCCCAGTCCAAGAACTGCACGGCAGGCTTGGCCGTCAATCATTCCCTCTCTGAGCACTGAAGGGGACCTTCAGGTGACTCAGCACTGGATTAACATTCCTCAAAGACACAACCCGCAAGAAGGGTTCGCCAGACTCAAGGTAAATGATCTTCCTTCACTGCCATCATCCACGGTGTTCTTAACAGGTTTTTTTCTATTTCCAGAAACCAGACAGTGGTCCTGTTACCTCTCTACAATCTCCTCCAGAGTTATGACATTTCCCTTGTGTAGGTGCCAGACAACTTCAAGGATGGGTGGTTTCTACAAAATAAAAGCACAGAATTCAGTTTTAGGAACCATGGAATTCATAAAATGGACAAAACACTTTACAATTCCCCACAAATGAAATAATCTGACATAGCCCTGAAACTCATTAAGTGTTATTGTTCCAGGAATAGGGTCAACCAAGAAGACTAAGTGACTCTCTGGTTAAGGAAGCATTTGATTCACAGGATGTCCTGAGTTCAAAGCCCATGAGACAATACTCTCAGCAGCACAAAACAGACTTCCATTAGCCCACCCAGCCAGAACAATCCTCAGGTCCCAGTCTTACTGAAACACAACAGAATCACACTGTCGCCCTCATCACAAACGCAGGACTGGGCTGCAATTCACTGAAAAACAGACCAGCTCTGCTGAACCTGCTTGCCCAGCACATTATTTGGTGGTGGTCCCACAAACTCTGGCTTGTGTGCCTGTGTTTGCATTGCAATCGTGAAGCACAGACCGCCAGGAGATGCATCACTGGATCTAAAGATGCCCCTCACCTCTGCCTTCCAGAGCTCCTGACAGAAGAGCTGGCAGCTGAAGGCACCGAGACAGAGAAGCTCCTTCACAGACTGCAGGAGGTGGCCCATCTCCTCCTGCAGAGTCACAGAGAACCACAGCTCCATCAGTGACCCCACACTCCAACACTAGCAGCGCGTCAAGCCATGACAGGCAGCTCAGGACTCACCAGGACGGACAGCAACATTTGCGCGACTTTGGACTTAATCGATATTCAAAATTCAGATGTAACCCAGAGGGACCGTTTCAAAATTTTGTTACAAAAAACAACCCCTGCAAACTGAACCCCTTGTGTGTTATAGATCAGTAAAAACAAAGTCAGAATGATCAAAGCACAGATTAACTGCAGTAAAAAATAATTTATGGCAAAGTAGAAATCAGGGCAAAGAAAACCTTAATATAATCATAAAAATACCTTTAAGTTCTAGTGCAGTATCTCACCAGGGAAAATTGTCATTCTGGAATGAGTTACTAAGAATCAACCAATGAACCAAACCAGTCAAATGCCCTCCAATCGCAACATTCCTTTGCTTATTAAGCAAGCTAAATTTTGTTGTATTTTTGTCATTTTTCTCTGGCATTTCTGCCTCCGAATGTCTTTTAAGCCACCTCTGTTCCGACAGTGATTTCCTATTAACAGGTAAACTAGAAGGAGCTGCGTTCTGCCCAGGGTTGGCCGGGACAGGTGTGCAGCAGGCACAGCAGAAGGCCAGAGGACGGAAACTGTACCCTCTTCGCGGTGTCCAGCAGGACCCTCTTGGCGCTGCCCGCAGCCTGCCCAGGCAGCTCCCCGAGCCTCTCGGCCACCGTCCTGGCTGATAGCAGGCCCAGGGGCACCCCGAGCCGCGCAGCCTGCCCCTGCAGAACACACACTGACAGATAGAGGGGGCTCCAGTTAGTCCCCAGCAATCTTACTGAGACCCCCACTCCCTGTATTTCGCACACACACCTTTTTAGGGACTGGAATATTTAAGAGCTTGGAGATTGAAGGTGAAAAGTAATCTGAATTATCAACAGTCCACTGTTTCAGCCACTAAGAACACCTCACTTTTCTTTTTCTGAACTTGCTCTCCTTTACAGTGCCTTTACAAGCACTAACACACTCCTGGATCACGGTTATCATTCACAGTGGTCACTAGTCTGCATAGCATAAATAACACGAAAAAGGACAGGCAGCTTATGGAAAGCATTGTGTTTCAATACCTTTGAGGCTTCAAAAACCACCTACCATCGCTTTTTTCAAGCAAATTAGCAAAATATTAAGATATTTATTTAAAAGTGTAAATCGGAATAAAGATCAATGTTAGGTTGTTATTGCCCAATGCTTAAACACAACTTATAAATTGTGATCATGTACCACCCTCATTAAAAGTTCTTACTCAATCAAGACATGGTTAGACGGCCCTTTTTCTATCAACTTCAATTGTGAGTTACGTCTGAAAACACAAACCACCAGAAAAAGCAAATCGTGTACATTTTGTATCAGGGTTGGACACTCAAAACAAGTGAGATTCTGATAAGTTCTGCTATGCTGCATTGCAACTGATTATTTACCCAGTACTGAACCTCCAGCTCTGAGCAGAGTGGACTGCTCAAGATCACCATTTTCCTGTTTCTCTCTGCCCATGATCTTCTCACAGGGTCTGGGGCTTACCTACGATTGACACAATAATAATGCCCTGAAGTGGTCATGATTATTGAAGACACCTTTTATTTGGACAGTTTAAAGTAATATTAGCTGACAAAAAGAACACAATTGATAAAATCTCTGCAATTTTAAAACAAATTTTACTTTAGATACAAAAGATTAGAAGTTCCAATTA